TGCAATTCTCTTTTATCAAACGGTTAGATGCTGAATTATGGATCAAGTAAAGATGCCTTGTCCTTTGTCCCTCAACTTCCTCCTCCAGGCTACCTTTACATCAGGTATCCACTTCTCGTCAGTTTCTCCAGTCGAGTCTCCTTCTTCCACTCGTCTTCTATTTTTGCATCAGATGGATACTCCTATGGATAATCTTGGGCTTAAGAACTGGCATACTGGCATATTTTTGCTTGCGTCTGTCTGGCTCTTCGGGGTCACTATGCCGCCGGGTCTAAACTGCTTTACTTGGGCCTTCGTCACACTGTTGTATAGTGCGGGTAGCTGTGTGCTGACTTTCTGCATGTTCTCTTTTACTATTTTGTAGCAAAAATGTGCATAAAAGATGGGGAAGCACGCTAGTACCTATTTTTAAAAAAATATCTTACAACAACATCTACTGATATTATCAATTGATGGTTATATCAGAAAAAAACGCAGGTTTCTGTTCTATCATCTCTCGGGAGGCAAGCGATTGCAAAAGCGTCCAATCTTGCATCCATGATTTTTTTTCTTACTTGTCTACTTGTCCTTCTTGAATGCTGGTTTACAAAAGACCTAACTTCTTAATGTATTAGCTTTATAGCAGATGCATTTTGCATAGGGGCTTGTAGTACAGGTACCGGGTACATTCTTGCAATTTGTAAAGGTTGACACAGACATGAATGCAATGCTAGAGTCGATTAATATCTACAGCCTACAAAAAATTTAGATCTTTCTTATAGTTATATATGTGAATATATGTATATAAATATTTGTTTTTATTCCTTTTGTTCAACAGTCATTGATTCCACTGCTGGACCTAGGCCTCTCTTTACACACACACACACACACACACACACACGCACACACAGAACTGATAATGAACAAGAGCGTAAGCATTTATGCAACGTAAATCTGTTTTGAATACACACCAAACTGATTGTCATAAAAATTAACTTCCTTATAATTGCATTCAAACTTTTGTTGTTAACATAGATATTAGTAGACATGTTAACTATAAATAAATATATATCAGAAATTACATCACTATCATTGTAACTCTTGATATTCTAATCACAAGAATGTCCACTATAGAGAGGTAACAATGTTAAAATAGAACAAAGAACATGGCAGTTTAAAAACAGTATAAGCAATAACTGTATAATTCACTCGATATTGTTATACTTTCCAGAAGTAAAACCAAAATTCCCCTCTTTTATTTATGATAACTAAGAGTTCCTTACCATTAACAGCCGTCAGATTACTCTTGGGAAAAAGTCAATTTCATTTTTGGGTTCAGTACACTATATGAAAGTGAAGCTACCTGGCTATATATACCTTATTGTAACGATATTCATTTTGATAATATATAAACGGTAATAAATGTACAGTTGCAGTTTACAAACAGACCCACAGGTCTTATAGTACACACACGAAATTATTGTGGGTACCTTTATGCTTAGTATCATCATAGGTATCAGAGCACACACATATACACACAGACACATAAATTGTATTTGTATATCTCTCTCTCTGTATATATAATACATATATATATGTATATATCTACAAATACACACATACATATTCATATATAAATTTATATTCATATTCATGTGTATATGAACATATATATGAACGTATATTATATATATATATATATATATATACATATATATATATATATATATATATATATATATATATATAATATACATATGCATAATTATGCATATATATATGTTTACACATATAATATATATATATATATATATATATATATATACATATATATTTACACATCATTTCAGTATCGGTAACACAAATTATAGATCAATATGGAATGAAGAAATATGTAAAAGAATAGAAGACTGACGAGCAAAATAACAAGTTGAATGCATTCCGTCTCGTTGCCATTTATCCACTGGCATTTTTTTTCTCTTATTGAAAATAACCGTCGCTTCCATTTCTCATACTCTGTGCTCCTTGCACATCAAGGTCTCAGACGAGTATATAAACTGGTGCGCAAACAATAACTCACACACACACCTGTTGTGGCCACAGCAAAGTCGCTTGACCCAAGATGAAGTATTTGGCAAGTAGATTTGGCGATCCTTCAATATTTCAGTCTTTACTTAGCAATCTTTAAATCTTTAAGTCGAACACTCCGCATATCTCTTTAATCTTACAATTGTACATATATACATATGTATGTATATATACATATATATATGTATACATTGTATATATATATATATATATATATATATATATATATATATATTGCATTATGGCTGTTTTCCTCATTTTAAATATGTGACCCAACTAAATTATGACTTTCAGGTATTTGTGCTCCTGGCGGCTGCCGTTTGCGCTTCCGAAGTTGAGAAGCGAGAGGCGGAGCCCAGCTATGGCTATCGTCCTAGATACACAATCCCATCCTACACAGCATACAATACCCACCAAATCTACAAGAGATCTGCCGAGCCTGAAGCGGACGCTGAGCCCTCTTATCATCATGGTCATGTAAGGCATTTCAGCGTTCCTGCAACCTATACACACTCCGTTCGTAGCTACCATAAGAGGTCTGCCGATCCTGAAGCTGATGCTGAGCCTTCTGCCGCTTACTCTTCCGCAACTTACACCCCAACTGCACCCATCTACGCTCCTTACAGCGTTCACGGGTACCACAAGAGGTCTGCTGAAGCTGATGCTTCTCATGGAACCTTCCACGGAATCTACAGCCACACTCCCATTACTTACGGAGGCCACTCCAACCATGGGCTGTACAAGAGGTTTGCGGACCCTGAAGCTGAGGCTTCCACTGGTTATTATTCTCCGCCTTCTGTGTATGGTCCAGTTGTGTCCTACGGCCATAATATCTACAAGAGGTCTGCTGAAGCTGAAGCACAGCCATCCACCCCATACGCTCCCGTGCACTACAGACCTGTTTCTCTTTACCAACCCCGATACTACTAAGACTGGGAAGGACTGAACGATTAAGCTGATATGGAGCATCGGTGTGTTTAATAAAGGTAAAAATGTTAGCAATTTGCGTATTTGAATTCCTATAAGATTGTCCAGCTAATAGTTATATTTTCTTAAAAAAATAAAAATAAAAAAAAATGCACATCACAATCTTGTAAATAGAAAATGTGAATATCAGCTGGCACATTAGTTGGCGTCTCTTCTATATATATGAATGGAAATACTGATATCAGTTACTATAATGCAATAATTGTCATAAAGACAAAGACAGTTGTAGTAATATCAATGGCAACAATCAAATGATAATGGTTATAATGATAATAACGATTATGATAATGACACTGATGATGATGATAGCCATTACAGGAGTAATAATGAAAATAACACCAATCTCAACAATAATAATGATAGTAATAACAATAATAATATTACTAATGGATGATGATAATAGTAATCATAGTAATTATGATAACAGTAACGATAATAGTTGCAACAATAACAGTAATGATAATAAAAAAAACAAAAGCATTAGCAATTATAACCTAGAGCAATAACTGCAATAAAATAAGATCAGGAATGGTAATAACAATAAAATAAGAATCTTGTGAATAATAAGGGCCATAACAAAGCCAATAATAATCATAAAAGTTATATAAGTGATGATGATGTGATCAAGAACAATGCATAACTTTTACTTAAGGTCGATAATTCTATCCCTATCTTTAGTATCCTCGACTCTTGACCGGCCAGGGATGAGGACTCCCTCGGTTGGTTACCTGTCTCTCCTCGCATCCTTGGGTCTTTGACTCAGCTGTAATTTCGATAGGAAAATATCGGTTATTAAGACATTGGCTAGTTTAACTTTTACTTAAGGTCGTATAGCCCCTTTCCTTTCTTTAGGATCCTCGGCTCCTGGGATGAGGACTCCCTCGGTTGGCTACTAGGCTCTCCTATTGAGAGATTGGCTACTTTGCCTTTCAAAGGATGCTGACTTTACGTAGATGCCATATTTATTTTCTTTAAAAAATAGTGGAGGTAGTAGAAATAATTATAAGGTAACAATAATAGTGTTGCTATTATTAATGGTGTTTAATATAGTCAAGCTGATGATACGTTAATGGTAATAAAATGATATAAAGACTGTAATGAGAATCCCCATGAGCCTTATTACGATAGAATAACAACAAAACAAACACGTGCGACAGGACCGCATTCATTACAGACGCAGTCCCCAACTCAAGCCACATCCTTAAGGCTGTATCAAGATTCAGTCACAGAAGACTCGAGCGCACGGACGAACTAACGAACCTCATCAAATCGCACAAATCTCGTGTTTGTATATATGTATGTGAGTTTATTATATAGATGTACATATTCATACACACACATATGTAATGCATATATGTGCGTGTATATATATATATAATGCTTATATATTTTACACACCCATATATACGACATATATACATATAACACACACATATATATACGACATATATACATACAACACACATATATTTATATCTACCTATCTCTTATCAATCCATATATATATACATACACAAACATATATACTATGTATATACATAAATGCATATACATACATACATACACATACACACACATATATACACATATATGCATGTATCTCTCTCTCTCTCTCTCATGTTCCGTCGAGTCGCTGACGACTCTTGGTGACATCATGCACAACCTGTCTCCAGTAATTTATGTTCTTCACTTCTTCTTTCAACACCGCCAGCGATTTACCAGTCACATCCACGACACCATCCAGCCATCTCTATCGCTGTCTTCCTTGTCTTCTTTTCCTTCACATTTAGCCAACATAAGATTTTTTTTTTCTAGACTGCTATCTTTCCTCATTACATGACCAAAATATGTCAACCAGAGCTTTATGGTGTGTGCTTCCAAGGTTAATTTCGGTGCAATTCTTTCAATCACTGATTTGTTAGTTTCTCTCTGTGTCCAAGGAATCTTTAACACTCTCCTCCAGCACCACAGTTCGAAAGCATCAATCCGTCTCCTATCTTGCTTTTTGATTGTTCAACTTTCACATCCATACAGCGCTATTGGAAAAATAAATTAAATCATTCTGATCTTAGTGTTTTTGGACAGATCCCCACTTTTCATGAGTCTTTTCAGGCTTATTACTGCTGTTCTAGCCATGCTAAGTCTGCGTTTGATTTCTTCTGATGTTTCTCCATTCTTAAAAATGTGACTTCCGAGAAAATTAAAGGATTGCACAACTTCTACCTTTTCCCCATCTGCCTTAAACTCGTCTACATTATCTGTTGTCATAACCTTTGTTTTTTTAATATTCAGATATAAACCAGTTTGGGCACTGTGTGTCTTTACCCTTTTTATTAGCTTTTCTAGATCTTCAGCATTTTCAGCTATGAGTGTGGCGTCATCTGCATATCTCTGGTTATTTATGGTCATACCTGCTATTTTGTTACCTGCCCTTTCTTCTTCCAGGCCAGCTTCACGCATGATACTTTCTGCATATAACAAATATGGGGACAAGATGCAGCCTTGTCTCACCCCCTTACCCATACTAAACCATTCAGAGTCACCTTGATCAGTTCTGACTATATAAACACACAAACATATACGCATACACACACACACACATATGTATGTGTGTGCGTGAGTGTGCGTGTGTATGTATATATATAATAGTTACCTTTATCATTCACTTATATACATATATGCTTTAATCATAGTAGGCGTTATTATTATAGTTGCCATTATTATTATGATTGTTGCCATAATGATTATAATCACTGTTCTTGTTTGTTATGGCATTACTGCTGTAATACCATAACAAACATGTGTGTGTATGGAATATGGAACAATATCAGGAAAATAACATTAAAAGACATTACTTGAAATTCACTAGAGAAATGATAGTTATGTACAACACAAAATAGCCTGCGCTTTATATATTTCTAAATCGAAATTTCATTTTCCGTGTAGGCGAAGGTCACAATCGAGTATATAAGCCACAGCACAAAATTTTACTCACACAACTTAGTTGTGGCAACAACAAAGTCACTTAGCCAAAGATGAAGTGTTTGGTAAGTACTTTCGGAAATTCTTAATCTACGGGAATAATATCTAGTAACAAGTATTTCCCGCTTTTGCAATATCTAACCGAAAATAAATAATTTTCAGGCATTTGTGCTCCTGGCGGCTGCCGTTTGCGCTTCCGAAATCGAGAAGCGAGAGGCGGAGCCCAGCTATGGCTATCGTCCAAGATACATAATCCCATCCTACACAGCATACAATACCCACCAAATCTACAAGAGATCTGCCGAGCCTGAAGCGGACGCTGAGCCCTCTTATCGTCATGGTCATGTAAGGCATTTCAGCGTTCCTGCAACCTATGCACACTCCGTTCGTAGTTACCATAAGAGGTCTGCCGATCCTGAAGCTGATGCTGAGCCTTCTGTCGCTTACTCTTCCGCAACTTACACCCCAGCTGCACCCGTCTACGCTCCTTACAGCGTTCACGGCTACCACAAGAGGTCTGCTGAAGCTGACGCTTCTCATGGAACCTCTCATGGAATCCACAGCCACACTCCCATTGCTTACGGAGGCCACTCCATCCATGGGCTCTACAAGAGGTCTGCGGACCCTGAAGCTGAGGCTTCCACTGGTTATTATTCTCCGCCTTCTGTTTATGGTCCAGTTGTGCCTTACAGTCATGTCTACAAGAGGTCTGCTGAAGCCGAGGCACACCCATCCACTTCATACGCTCGAGGGAACTACAGACCTTTTCCTCTTTACCAACCTCGATACTACTAAGAATGAGAGGGCAGACGATTTAGCCGTTATGGAGTGTTAGTGTTCAATAATGAAATTGGAAACAAAGATTTGCGAATTTCTATTACCCATAACAGATGTTCAATTAATAGTTAGAATTAATGCAAAGCTAATATTCATCAGAATTCTGATACCAATAAGATGCTCATCCATGGATAACACGTTACCTGTTTCTTTTTGACGAGACTAAATTCATTCTGATATAACGTTACTCTTTGTGCCTTATGATGCTAATGCTAATATTAAATGATAGTGATATTAGCAACAACAACACTTCGAATACTGATATCAATGATGTAAGTAATAAAAGGTGAATTTTACAAAAAAAAAGAAGAAAAAAAAGGTAATAATAATAGTAATAGTAATAAAAAAAATGAATAGTAAAATAATAGTAACACATAAATAAATGAATAAAAAGCTAATAGTTAAAGTACATCTGACAATATTCTTGGTAACTATTCATTGTGATGAAAATACTAATATATTTTTAATCATAATTATCATGGATAACAGTAGTCATCGTTAACATATAAAACACATACACACACACACACACACAAACACACACACACACACACACACACATATATATATATATATATATATATATATGTATCAGTAAATACACACAGACACACACACATATGTATATGTGAATGTGTATGTGTACACAGACACATATATAACTTATATATATATATATATACACAGCGGGAGGCCTATCGTTGATATGTATTATGATTAGACATATACCAGTATATAAGTAAATAAGTGTGTGTATGTGTGTGTGCATACATATATATTACGAATGCACATTTCTATATTTATATATGTATATATATGTACACATACATTTATTTGTGTATGTGCATATTTAAATATATATCATATATGGGATAAAGTTATGTAAATATACATATATGTGGATAACATATACCTACTTATCTATGTATATGTATATATAGATGTGTATATCTAAATATATACACGCATGTATATGTACACACACACACACATATATCGTTATCTTTCTATGTATATAATAATTTACAACTCTATCATAATTGCCATCGTCATTGTAGGCTTTTATGTATTTTTACAGGAGATTCTACTCCTGAGAATACACAAACAATATGTGTTTTCTTACTGTAAATAATCAGCGCTTAATACCAGCCAGATGATCGTCCATGGATAACACTTTACCTGGTTCCTGCTCTATGAGACTTAGCTCACTCTGATATTACTCTTTGAATCTTATGATGATAATGCTGGTGGATAGTAACACTAATAGTAATTAATGGCAATATTAAATAATCAGATGGTAATATGAATGATGAAAGTAAGAACACATTATAATGGTTAAATTACATCTGACAATGTTCTTGGCATGATATCTATATACACTTGATGAATATCCTAGTTGGTAACTACTGACTTAAGCCCTGTCTCATCACCTTTATTCATCGCAAATATTCAATATATTTTTAGTTTTTTATTCCGTTTTCATTTTCTATTTTTATCATAGTTATTACAGAATCATTTTCAAATAAAATGCACAGAAATAATCTTGCCATATGATATCGCACATATTGTTGGGATCCAAAAATGGGCCTGAGATAAATGATGTGCACTGTGAGATACCAGATATAGCTAGATACAGTTATTGGTAGAATTTACTTAGTATTGTTATATTTTCCAGAAGAAAAAACAGAATTCCCCTTCTTTTATTTATGATAACTAAGAGTCCCTTATCATTAACAGCTGTCAGATTACTTTTGGGAAACAGTCAATTTCATTTTTGGATTCAATACACTATATGGAAATGAAGCTACTTGGATATATGTACTTTGATTCGTTGTAACGATATTACATGTGATAAAATATAAATAGTAATAAAATGTATAATTTCAATAATGATAAAGGTAGTAAGAATAATGATATGAATATTAAACAATATTTCTTTAAAGCATCAAATTCAGATACACTGTGCAGAAAGGAATTTTTCTTATATTCTATACACGAAGCCGAATGATTTATCGAACATACTGGAAATTCACGAAACATCCTGTGATTAGAATGATTACAGACTCATAGGTCTTATGCTGAAACTCCACACAAAATTATTGTGGGTATCAACATAGGAATCAGTGCACACATACAAACGCACGCATACATTTTATGTCTCTTTCTGGCTCTCTCTCTATATATGTTATAAATATGTGTGAATATATCTACACACGCAGACATATATATATACAGTACATGTATTTGTATTCATGTATATACCTTTGCATGTATATCGATTAACTTCCATTATTTATATACATTATACAATATACATTACACAATATATAATGATAGATATATGTTTATACATATATAATATATATATACATATATAATATACATAGACATATATATACTTATATCATTTACAGTATCGGTAACACAGGTTATGGGTCAATATGGAATGAAGAACTATGTAAAATAAAAGAAGACTGTTAAGAAAAAGAAAATCCTCCGATGCGCGTGCTCCTTGCACATCAAGGTCATAGACGAGTATATAAACTGGTTCGCAAACGGTAACTCACACACACACCTCTGTTGTGGCCACAGCAAAGTCGCTTGACCCAAGATGAAGTATTTGGCAAGTAGATTTGGCGATCCTTCAATATTTCAAGCTTTTATATGGCAATCTTTAAATCTTTATGCCGTTTCAAACACTCCTGTCCGCATATCACGATGTAAAATTATTCATTTTAATCTTACAGATGTATATATCCATATATATGTATATATATCTATATGTATAAATACATATATGTATATATGCATATATATGTATACATGGTATATGTATATATATTACATTACAGCTATTTTCTTCATTTTAAATATTTAACCAAACTGAATTATGACTTTTAGGCGTTTCTGCTCCTGGCGGCTGCCGTTTGCGCTTCCGAAGTTGAGAAGCGAGAGGCGGAGCCCAGCTATGGCTATCGTTCTAGATATACAATCCCATCCTACACAGCATACAATACCCACCAAATCTACAAGAGATCTGCCGAGCCTGAAGCGGACGCTGAGCCATCTTATCGTCATGGTCATGTAAGGCATTTCAGCGTTCCTGCAACCTATACATACTCCGTTCGTAGCTACCATAAGAGGTCTGCCGATCCTGAAGCTGATGCTGAGCCTTCTGTCGCTTACTCTTCTGCAACTTACACCCCAGCTGCACCCGTCTACGCTCCTTACAGCGTTCACGGCTACCACAAGAGGTCTGCTGAAGCTGATGCTTCTCATGGAACCTCTTATGGAATCTACAGCCACACCCCCATTATTTACGGGGGCCACTCCAACCATAGGCTGTACAAGAGGTCTTCGGATCCTGAAGCTGAGGCTTCCACTGGTTATCATTCTGCACCTTCTGTGTATGGTCCAGCTGTATCCTACGGCCATATCCACAAGAGGTCTGCTGAAGCCGAGGCACAGCCATCCACCCCATATGCTCCCGTGCACTACAGACCTGTTTCTCTTTACCAATCCCGATACTACTAAGAATGGGAAGGACTGAACGATTCAGCCGATATGGAGCATCGGTGTGTTCAATAAAGGTAAAAATGTCAGCAATTTGTATATCTGAAATTCCTAAAAGGATTGTCCAGCTAATCATTTCTTAAAAAGAAAGAGAAAAAAAAAAAACTAATGTACATCACAATCTTGTAAAT